TTCAGTCTCGCTGGTTTCCTCACTATTATCCTGGCGACGGCAGCCGCAGCTGGAAACGTCTTCCTGTCGGTCCTGGGAGGGAAGCTTGTCGGTCTAAACGCCCCCGCAGCGCTGGCATTCGCTGCACGAAGCACAACTTTGGCACTTGCCAAACCGGCCATGGAAGCACTTGGTGGAAATCTCGGTGTGAATGCTGCCCTCGTGGTAAGCAACGGAATCCTTGGTCAGCTTTGCTATCCGTTTGTGCTCGACAAACTAGGCGTCAGGCGAGAAGACCTTGTTCCCCATTCAAGCGTCAACGTATCCGACTCCGATGGTAGAGCCTCACGTCTGAGTCTGAAGCCTCTTTTGAGAACAGCTCAAAAGGATCTGTCAAGTGGCGATGATCCCTTTACAATCTCAGCCGGTATCACTGTTGGCATCAACGGCGCGGCCATGGGCGTGTCGTATCTGTACGAGACTAGAAGTCGCGCAGCTCCGTACGCTGCTCTTGCTATGACAGTCTCCGGCGTCATGACGGTGGTGTTCACCACTGTCGAGCCTTTCAAAGGTGCTGTGTTGAGTCTGGCCAGCTGAAGAGAAATGGCGATAGAATCTCGGCAGGATAGACGTGGTAGCGTTCGTGACCTGGTGTTTAGTTATATACTTGCTAGGAAGACGGGTAGAAAGACAACGAGCAAGCCTGGTAGAAGCCAGTTGTGGCCGGGTACTGTAGATACTTAGACATGGAAGAATAATGTAGACAACCAAGATTTAAAAGACTGCTAGTCTCTTGAAATATGACGTCCAAGTCAGCCACATATAGATCACTTCAACAGATATCGGCAAAGGCGATCGGGAGGTATTGCGCGAGGACGTCAAGGATACGCTCTGCTTTGTCAATTTACAAAATTTGTCAATTATATATACTTTTCAATTTATTCAAGGCTAGGGAAAGTCAGTCAGTAATGAGTTCAAACCACAGACATTGGACTTACCGCTCAATCAAGTGAAGGCCGCTAGCTGTCTCCACAATTCCGCTCATCTGGCCAGGTTGGAGGCCAAAGGAAGCATCTTCAAACTCCTTCTGCATGTCTCCCTTGCCAAAGTATCCGAGATCGCCTCGCTTACGGGCAGAAGAGCAGTCGGATTCGGTGAGAGCGAGCTCACCAAGTGTGATACTACCAGACTTGATCTTTTGCTCGTGGTCCTGGATGATCTCAAGGGCCTCCTCCTTGGTGCGCGTGATCTCAGCCTGTAGTGATTGTGTTAGTCAGCGATCAATGCAACTGTCGGATACGATGGGCGGGTATGCGCACCTCTCTCCAGCTGCTGGGTCGTCGGCTGTCGCGGTGCTTGACTAGTAGATGGGCAGCGCGGATCTTCCCCTCAGGAACACCAGCGACGGCACCAGGACGAGAGCCAGCACTGTGGTTAGTAGCCATATAATGCTTGAGCTTCTCGGTGTCGGTGCCGGAGGGAGGTTCCCATCGTGAGAGCTTCTCGGCAGAGTTGAAGTAGTAGGGGAGGTTCTTGGAGTTGGAGTGTCGGACCTCCCATCCCGGAGGAAGACCAGTGTCAGCCTATAGTGTGCATGTTAGATGATGAATTGAGTCTGTGAGTTGATTGACGCAGCCAAAGGAGGGGGCGGCGAGAAGTCTTGAAGGATCTGCGACAGTTGTCGAGGTTTGCTGTTGAGCTGCTTACCATGTTTATATCTGTTGTTGACTTTGGTGAAGGTGGTATAAGCGAGAGCAAAAATGAGCTGTGTTCAGCGTCGTCGTCGGGTTATCGATCGTCAAAAAAAGTTCGTCTTTGGGGGAAGCAAAAGTTGCAGCTCGAGAGATGTGCTGCGAAGAGGAGTGATGAGATGGATGGGCTACCAGTTAAGGTATGGTAAGCTGGAGCTGATGGAGCTGGGTCCTCCCGTCGCCTCTCGACTCGCTGGGTTCAACTGGAACAATGACGTGCCGTAACTTTGCTGTACAACAGAAGGAGCGACAGACCCCCGCGGTTGCCATGCGGCGTTGCTGTGGCGGGCGGGGTTTGACGCGGGGTGGCCCTTCCTTCTTTCAGTGGGTGGGTGAGCTACCCAGCGCTGTGATAGGCTCACAGGCTCGAAGCGTTGCAGCGACTCAACCTCTAACAAGCGCCTCAATACTCTTAACGAGGGATATATCCAACTCGGTTGGTAATAAACCATGCTTACTGGCTTTAGATCATGGGATCAGTCTTTAGTGCATGCTTAATCAAGGGGTTACTTGTCACCAGACGCTCGGCATCATCGAGCTGAAGGCACATACACCTCCGGGGACCTTTTAAGCCAGTAATCGTTCGAGGTACATACAGTTGATAGAAATAGAACTCCAGACGGCATTGGCAAGGTTTGATGGGGGGGGAGGCAGTATCAACGGTGAACTTCGGAGGTTCTGTCTATCGGAGCCTTTCAACTGAGCCATCCCTCTCACACGGTACCAGCACCAAAGGGAAAATGCGGAGGTGCGTTTCCATCCATTCGGAACAACCTGCAGATCTGTCAGTTGTCACTGGCCCTGGACCTGGTTCGGATAGTCGAATGTGGAATAGAATAACACGGAGATGCCAGCCGGTAAATCGATAGTCTACAGGTTAAGTGGCTAGCTGAGTGCCTATAATCATCGTCACGCGAAAACTTTGACGGAAGAGTCGGGGAAGTTAAATCTGAATAATTAGTTGGCAAACGTAATTTTTCTTTGCTCCTATTGATACCAGAATCAGGGATAAAATAGGTATGTAAAAGAAAGGAAGCAGGCGTTGCGAAGAGTGCCGCTAAGATCAGACTATAGCACCATTCGCCATAAGCTGGGAGGAAAAAAAACTCGGGATCTTGATCCTAAATGAAAAAAATGAACTAGATATGTTGGCACAGGCTTAGCATATCTTTACTCAGTTTAGGATACCTTTTTGATAGAAAATATGCATGACTGTGAGAGAATAAAAACGCGTAATTGCCTTGAGCCGCTTGATGAGAAACAAGTATCCAATGTCATCTTACAATCAGCCCAGAGATTCGGGACCAGAGCAGATTGTGAGACATGTCACCACGTTGCCACTTCAACAGAGACGTCAAGCCTCCTATAATGCAGGAAGAAGAGATATGAAGGCAGCACCTGCATTTTGAACAAGTGATTATTCTTGGGAGCCTTGATTCCATGCCTCCCGTGGTTGACACTCAGAGTCGAAGATGGTGTATAATGGAAACCCCGCTATTAAAAAATTCGATCACTTTGTGGAATCATCCTTCGAACATCTCTGTGGGTAATCAACTCTGTAAGTGATCGCTAAGTCACTTCCAATATGCTTTATGTACCAAGTTGTTGGTTGCCTTTAGAGCACATGGTATCACCTTCGCCTTCAGCTCTGGTGTAACTACTATGCGTGGGGTTGCAAGTGTGATTTGTTTGCTGACTGCAACGACATTAACGACCTGAGTAAGTTGGCCAACGCAATCAGATTGCGAATAGTTCACGCAAGACAATAACATCTTCAGTTTCATGATCCACCGTCCTAAGGCTCACACGAATCGCTAAATCGCCGACCTTCCAAGCGTCAGATCGGATAATTTACTCTAGGCTTAGGAACGACTTCCTACCAACTCACCAGTATCTCCCTTTCGGCCAATTACGAATTCCATGGCCTACGTACTTTCTACACGTGTACGTGTCTGCGGCCTTTTTCGTGTTGATCGTGTCTCAAGTTCCGCTTTGGTACGATCGTGATGGTCTCGTGGACCTCACGTAGCCCTCCATGTGCCACTTATTGATCACTTGTCAACGCCTCACCCAGTTAATGCTGTTTGAAGTGGCAGAGAACCATGTTCCTGCGTCTTGTTTCGAGTTCCTAATTCGAGAGATGTCTTTTCACGCATATTTCTAACATGCACGTCACTCTAGTTTACTCCTCGCTGTGACGGAGGTTACATTGTGCCTGATTAACGCACCAGTGATGATGTGAACATACAGAGACCAGCCTCGTTGTGCCGGACAAACCTCCGTAACTGTTCAGCTGGAATAGACAGCATCATCCAATAAGAGCTCTTTTCAAAGGATTCACAGTGATGTTGTTTTATGCACGGGTAGGTATTATGTATTTCTGGCTGCCTCATGATTAGATGACTCCAAGGCATCACCGCCTCATAGAATTGAAGATGAAGACGTGAGTCACCGCAAATAACCTACCCCTGTCAATGAATGAATTGTCCCCAGTGTTTTGCCTTGCCACTCGCGGCGTGAGACCGTGAAATAAAGATAACGAGTCAGCAATAACAAGGCGCGGCAGAGGGACATAACTTTCGTGTCGTTTCGACTGTACAGTAGACGGCCCACGTGTGACAATCCACACGAGGCCACTGAAGGATAACGCGCTGAATCACCCACTGTTTATGCTGTGCCTTGGTTTGTTCAAGTCACTTGCTGCCTGTGCATTCCGTACAAAACTCAACCGACCCCAACACTGAAGCCTTGTTCTTCTCTTCTCTTCCTCTGTAATTTTACTATCATCTGGTGTTCACGAATCTACGGACTTTGAACAGCGCCCGTCAATCACAAGCCTGCATAATCACCAATTTCTCAGCTGTGAAGCCTCTGAATTTGTGGCTGGCTGCCAACTGTCGATTATAAACCCAACACAGCCCAAGCCCAAGCTCAAGGCACCAAACCCAAAAAAAACCCAACAAGCAACCAAATTCAAGGACTTGCACAGAAAAGTGGGACAGGAAAACCAGCGGAAGCCAGAAGCCCCTCCCACTTGAACTATTTTCCAGCCCTGTCGCCTTTCATCCATCACTTCTCTCCTTCTTTCTTCTTCAACAACAGCACGACCTCTATTCTAGAGCAACAATCGCCATCCATCATTCACAGCTTGAAATATCTATTCGACATTTCAGCTTTCAGATTTGTTTTTGCTTCTTGCATCTTCATAAAAAGCAACCAAGCATTCTCCTCAAATTGAACCACCCATACCACCACCACTCGACCGATCAAATGGCTACCCCCCAATCCACCACCTCTTACGAGGGCGCCGACGGCGACAAGAAGCTCGAGCAGATCACCTTCCGATTCTGCTCCGAATGCTCAAACATGCTTTATCCCAAGGAGGACGAGGATGCTCACAAGCTTCAGTTTACCTGCCGAACTTGCCAGTACACCGAGGACGCCAAGTCTACCTGCGTCTTCCGCAACGTCCTCAACACCTCGGCCGGTGAGACCGCCGGTGTCACCCAGGATGTTGGCTCCGATCCAACGGTTAGTCATCTTCCACCTGTTCTCTGTTACGGCTGTGGCGGAGTCATCTTGTGCACCTCGTGCGGCCAGCCCGATTGCCAAATGGTCGTCTCCAACGAGAAAGTCAGTCAGCCCATCACGGGCATGTGCCAGTTCACCTTGCCATGGGAGGATCCTTTCGCCGACTACGACGAGGAGATGATGGACGAGGACTACGATGACACAAGGACCGAGTCTGATGACTTCCTCTCCGACGCCAGTGAAGAATTCCTCGAAGAGATCTCCATGTGCTATGATTCGTCCATGAAATGTGAATCATGAGCATCTTCAACAAACATTATGTATGACGACAATTATGTAATTGACGACACGACACGACTGGCACGACTATACTATTCTATCTTGGGCTGGCTGGCACATGCTCTGGGCTTCTGCATCATCATCCGGCGGCGAGCAGTTGGCGGCCGACCGTTCACATGACAAAGTATAAGTTGGAAACAGCAGTTGGAGCACTGGGTGTCTCGCGTCTTCTTTGGAACCCGCTTGTCATCGCTTAAAGACTGCTGGCTGACTTTATCTCTTTTTTGCGCGCTGCAGCTCCCGCGATCTACAAAGACCTGCCCTAGTTGCCAGCACACCGAAGCTGTGTTTTTCCAGTCTCAGCAGCGAAGCGCTGAAACCGGCATGGTAAGTTGAACTCTCTCACACGTACATATGTTTCAGAGATCAGCTCACTAACGTCACGATAGAAACTCTTCTACGTCTGCTGCGAGTGTGGTCACATTTTCACTTAAGCGAAACCTTGTATCGATACCCGGGCAACGAATCGTCGACGCCCAAGTTGTGGAGGATACTCGCATCATCATTTGAATTCGCAAGGCGTTTTTAGAGAGGGTTGTGGCATGGTTATGCCACCGGCGCCAGGTTATAAGGAGGGAAATGCAAATTGTATTCTATCAATGATCCTGTATAAGACTGCTTAAAGCAGTGAATGAGATTTTGGAGGAGGGCCACAAATGTACCAAGCTTACCCCAGTTCTTTCGTCGTTTAAGACTGAGAGTCAAGCTTCTCATCACCTTCCGTAGGAGGGTTAAATTGTCAAAATGCATCTGCAGTTTTTTAATCATGCAAAATAAGTTCCTTGACATTAATTGTTCCAAGTTATGCTACCACAGTGACTTTGAGTTTTGAGAGGTGAAAGGTGTCTGTATTTTCGTATCAACGCCTCGCAAATGCCAAATGTAGTAATATTCGTAATTGTACAGTATTCCACTCGTACACGGCTGTATGTAGCCAAACCCATTCCCCTGGTCTATCCTGTCTTTTGTAAATAACCGCCCATCCACGCATCACCCTGAACTCCTTGCCAAATTTTCATGCCTGCATAGGCGCCATTGACAGAATCTTGCTCCACTTCTTGCGCTTCAGCTCAGCTCCAACAGCACCGTTGATACGTGATCCGACGGGATCTCCAGACTTGTTCAGTAGCACACAAGCATTGTCGTCGAACTTGACGACTGAGCCGTCTCGGCGCTGTGTAGGGTATCGAGTTCGGACGACGACGGCGTGGCGGATATCACCTCGCTTGACCTTGTTGGCGGCAGAGATACCGGCCATACCACCGGAGGAGCTACCACGCTGCTCCTGCACGACGACAACGACACGGTCACCTGAGGTGTGTTAGCTAACTGTTGAATTCTTTCGAGAGGATCGAGTGAGGTGTTCGTGGGGGTGTATCGTACCGATTCGGGCATGTCGTTTTTGGCCGACGACCAAGACGCATTCGACCAGGGCAGCGCCCGAGTTGTCGATGCAGTTGAGCATTGTCTACCATGGTCAGTCAGCAAGTGATTGAAAATATGGGAAGGATTGAAGTACCTTTAATTGAATCATCTTGGCTGTGTTCCGCGCGCGGAGGTTCAATACTCAACTCTCACCACAGTCTCACTCGGGATATCATCAATCAATCGCCCAACCTGTCGTTGAATTTTTGGACTAGGATCACGTGCTCACAGCCACAGTTGAAGCCACACTTGTCCCAGCGGAACCCATTGGATCTCAGCTGGGGTAAAGAAACCTGGAGATATCGTGTCGTCTTATCATGAGATTGTCTTTATGACTGGCATTTGAGAGTATAATACCGAAATAGCACCTCTTTGATTCTGATCTCTACTGTACCTCACTCCCTAACAAACAACCAAGACCCTTTGATCATTGTATCCGTCCCATGGCTTGACAACTTGAGCTGAAATGATGTTTGAGAGTGATTTCCTAGGCCTACACAGCCCCACTGGTCGCCTGGCCAATGCCCCAAACCGGCCTCGATCCAGGGAAGAGGAACAAAGCAAGCCCCCCTAACCTCGAAAACACCCGAGCGAGCTACCACCATGTCATTCCACCTTGAACATCACTTCCCTCCTTCAAGCCAGATTCCTTGAAAGGCACCCGCACCACGATCTTTTACTCACCCAAGTCTCAGCCTCGTCTGTCTTTGTTCCATCGATAAACGCTCCTTACCCATTTAGAGAGACGGAACCTATGACGTTGCGGCACTGAGTTAGCTGAAACCGAGCATAAAGCGCTTAACTTTGGCTTCTATCTTTCCAGCTCCTGCGCATTGCTCTGCAAGATTCGAAAGGCTTCAATTGTAGCATCGTTTGGCAAGGCTCTCATATACTGGGCCAAGGATCTACATCTCCGCTCTTTCTCGCTCGGACTTTTACAGCTAGTTTCGAGGGACACGTACGCTCTTTTATTCCTTGGACGGCAGCTTTACACAGCAGGACTGGCTTGGGAGTGAATTCATATTAGGCAAAATGCCTCCGTCACAGAAAGCGGCTGCCAAAAAGCCGCGCATGACGTTGGCACAAGTGTCAGCATATGATGACATTCTCACTGACGCCCTGGTTGATCATGTGAGTGGTTTACGGCTGAGCATCGCTCATGAGGCAATGCGACTCTAACACAGGCAGGTCTTTTACTGGACAACAGTCCCCAAAAACCGCACATCATATCATCCATCCAGAGGTGTGAGGGAGGAGGAGATCGCCAAGATCTTGCAAGAGGAGGTGGTTCTCAAGAAGGACTTGGAAAGTGCTGAGAAGCGATTGCTGGCAACAAACGGGCTGAAGCGGTTTCACAATGGATTGAAGACCGACAATGAAAAGGAGAATTTCCGACGGCATCTTAGGCGATATGTTCAAATCTACCTTCCAGATTGTCCGTGGGAGGTCAGCTCGACAAACCGATACACAATTGTTACTCACGAGGCTGCCGTAACAGCCAGACGACCTATCCGACGCAACGAGGCCATCAAATATCTATCCGGTGTTCAAGTCATTATCACACCAGAGGAGGAAAAGGCAATCTCATCTCAGAAGAAGGACTTCAGTATTGTGGTCAGCTCACGAAGCAAGTGCACCAGCCTGTTTATGGGCCCTGCCCGCTTTGCGAACCACGATTGCGATGCAAACGCCAAACTTATGAGGACGAGCCATGCAGGAATCGAGATTGTCGCAACAAGACCCATCGAGGCAGGGGAGGAGGTCACGGTTACTTACGGAGACAACTATTTCGGGGAGAACAACTGCGAATGCTTGTGCAAGACATGCGAGGATCTTTTACAGAATGCGTGGGAACCAGAAGAGGGTACAGTGCCAGTGAAAACTAGTATTGAGCAGGAAAAGTCAGAAGGTTACTCATTGCGGCGACGACGGAGAGATGACAGTATCTCTGGGTCTTCGCGAACACCATCAGTCACTCCTGATATGCGACCACGGATTACAAAAGCGGCTTCGAGAGGATCAAAACTAGCTCGCGATTCATCGTCAGTCAGGTCTCCGCCCGCCGAGCAAACCAATAATCGAAAGCGACAGCATGATAGTCTGGCAACACCCCCTAAGACTCCGGCAAAGCGACAAAAGGTCTCGCCTGAGAAGACTGTAATTATCATCGACGATTCGTCGCGCAGTACATCTGTCACTGCCAGTGAATCTTCAAGCGGTGTTGTCGAGACAGATGTCACTTCGCCAGAGAAGGAAACTCCGGAGCCTCTAGGACATACTCCATTGAAAGGGAATGCGAACAAGGGCAGTCAACAGACAGAGGGGGCACCAGTTTCGCCGCAGAGCAGTCAAGGTTCACGATCACCGCAACAGGCGACTGAAATGACGAGAGAGAGAACCCGTCGAAGTGGTCTTGAGAGCATGACTATCCAGGCCATTCTAAATGCTCCTCTAGAGTCCGAGGCTGAAAGTGAACCTGAACCGGAGAAGCTCAACGAAGCAACTGTGGTACCTCCACCAACCGAGCCTATCGCAACCAGTATTGAAACTGTCGAAGACAATCAAGTGGCTGATGAGGATCAGCCAAAACGAAAGAAATATCAGCGTCGTGTCTATAAGCAGGACACGCCTCCATCTAGAGTGCGAGTGCCCGGAGATTACCTCCTCACACCGCTACTTTTATCAGAACCTGAGATGGCCTGGATCCAGTGCACCATCTGCGACGGTTACTTTGTACAACAGAACGCATATTTTACACGAGCTTCATGCCCTCGTTGCGAACGGCACTCAAAGCTTTACGGGTACATCTGGCCCAAGACGGACAAGGCCGGACCGCACGACAAAGAGGAGCGCATTCTCGATCATCGCACAATCCATCGATTCCTAGATCCCGATGATGAGCGAAAAGTGAGGTGCCGCAAGAGTTTTGGAAATCTCAAGACAGACACAGAAGAAACGGAAGAGCTCGAGCGGGGCCGGAAGCGACACAGCACATCAGGCTTGATGGGGCGAACGGGTCCTTCAACAGAACAAGACTCAGGCCATCGAAGAAGTGGAAGGCTTCGTAGAGTGAACAGTAGATTCTTCGACCCATGATGAACGTACGTGGAGAACTGTTGGACATAATTCGGACCGAGCATGACTTTTTTTTTTTTGAGGCGAGCGGGATTTATAATTGTATACTTTTGTTTCAACGGCATTGCGAGACCAAGAGGCCTAGTTTAGATAAATGACCCACCCTCTGGACAACGTTATTCATTATAAATGTTTCAATGCATCGAAAGAACGAATGCTCATCGCCCGTCGCCGATGTGAAGATTCGCGCCCTGCATACCGTAGATCTGGAGCTTTCCGAAAATCCAACGTCAAAGATTTCTAATCACAACGTCATTGACCCATCATGAGCCAGTATATAAATTCCTGTTCCCAATTCCCAAGATGAGGTTTCTCAAGGATCGTTAAGCATAACAATTCTATCTCAACACTCATCACCATGGCTGCATATCTCACCAACCGCATCTGCCATCCTCACCACGGCATTCCCGTTTCCAGACCCGAAACCCCTGCTCCCGCAAAGACTGAGAAATGCAGCCATCCTATTGTCAACAAAGCTGCAAAGGGTGTTCCATTCTTCACCCCCGAGCAGGATCCTCCGCCTGGTCTGGCTATTCAGCCCAGCGATGGAAGACCTGTTCCTAGACTCTTCCAACCACTCAAGATTCGAAATGTCACTATGCAGAATAGAATCTGGGTCAGCCCTATGTGCCAGTATTCTTGCCATGAAGGATTCATGACGCCTTGGCATATTACGCATTATGGCGGTATGGCCCAGCGTGGTGTAAGTGGCGTTGGAACAGTGAGATCGACCAAAGCTAATCTTTTTGTAGCCGGGGCTTATGATGATCGAAGCAACTGCTGTTCAAGCTAATGGTCGAATTACGCCTGAGTAAGTATATTCTCAAAAATTGATGTGGTTCTCTTGTTAACTATCACAGGGACGCTGGTATCT